CCCCCTTTCTGGTGAACATTCACATCCTGTCGCAATAAAAAAATTAAAAACCAAGAGAGAAAGTGAGAACATTGTATAGGAGAAGGGAAAATTTCAGCCTACATCACAGCTCTTGATTTGCCAAAGTAACAAATGTTTCATGTGTAAATGCTTTTAAGCAAATCAAGATGAGCCAATAGATTAGACAAATAATGCAGGAAAGGACTGAGGTAATTCAATAGGAAACAGGAGTGTCTTTTTACTATCAGCCTAAAAGAGTGCCTGGCTAGTAGGGTATGAGGCATCCTGTCCTGGAAATTTGTAATGACACTGATCTGTTAAGATCATTTTCTTGTTGCTGTAGAAAAGCAACGGAAGTAAACTATTGTTTGATTATATTATTTCTCCCTGAATTTTTCCTCTACTAGTCATTCTTTACAACATTCCTGTCTATTGATTTTGAGAACCCAAAATTGAGAACTTATCTTTTTTTTTTTTTTTAAGAATTCCAGCTCTTTATTTATTTATTATTTATTTGTGTGTGAGAGAACTTTTTCCTATAGGGTATTATGTGCTTGCCAGAGAGACAGAAAGACAGAAAACAAGAAATCACCCTCCTAGGGGAGGGCCACATCGTAATCCCTTCTCCTCCATTCTCCTCTCAGGACTTTGGGCACGCACACACACACATGCCTGGTGTGAGTTTTAAGCCGACAAGTCCCCATCCACTACATGGGAGTCCAACAATGTAACCATTATGCCATCTGCTGGTCCCAAGAACCTAGTATCTTAATAACCTGTTAGAGAGCTATCCATCATTTTGTTGTTGTTATTCCCAAGACCTATTTTAAACATCTCATACAGAGAACTTTACTCATCACTGCTCGGAACCTTTATCTTAAAACTACTTAAGGCCTGGCCTCTGTGGTGCAAACAGTTAGGTGTCGATGATGCTGGAGTCATATGGGAGGCCAGGTTTGGATCCTGGGCAGATATGAACACAGTGGGCAAGGTGTCATAGCTGTGATCCTGGTTGGCTCAAAGTCTGGGACTGAAGGATCGTGATATGACAAGAACTTGTCTAGAGTACCTGTCTCTCTGTCTCTCATAAAACCAAATAAGTCAAACTTCAAAAAATTACTTTAAACTACTACTCTTGTCTACCTGTTCAGATCCTTCTAGTAATAATGCCATCTCTATAAACAGAGATTTGTGTCTTGGAAATTTACTCATGATCTTATGCATTTTTGATGTGTGTGTGTATGTGTGTGTGTGTGTGTGTGTGTGTGTTTATTTTTTTAATTAAATTCACCAGAGGGCATGTGTGCTTACCAGAGATAGACAGACAGAAAGGGAGAAGGAGGAAGCACCATCCACTACAGCATGGTCATACCACAATCCCTTCTCTGTTTCTTAATTCTGTTTGAATTTAGGACACACATGCACATGTGTCCAGTGTGGTATTTTTAAGTCACCAGGACTGGAATTTGAACTATGCAGTTGGCCATGTAGAATCTGGCTTCCTTAACCACTAGGCCATGGAGCCAGCCCTTGGTATATTTTCTAAGTATCGTTTTAGCAATCAGTAGCAACAAAGCCACATTCAAGATGTCTAGCCTCACACAAAAGGCACAAGATGCTCATCCTCTAGCCTTATTCTCTTCCTGCAGTCAGGCACTCTCACCCTTCATTATTTGGTAGTGACAGGTTGTGTATCCCTTATCCAAAATGCTTAGAACCAGAGCATTTCAGATTGTAGATGTTTTTTGGATTTTGGAATATTAGTATTTACATAGAATATCTTGGGTATGGGACCCAAGTCTAAACATAAAATTCATTTATCTTTCATATACAGCGTATACACATAGCCTGGAGGCAATATTTTTTTTCAATATTATTGCATTGCAACTTTTTAAAAAATACTTTCTTCTTTCCTCCATTTCTCTTTTCTCTCCAATTATTTCTCTTTTTCTCTCTTTTTTTCTTATTTTTCTCTTTTATTTCTCTCTTTATTCCTTTTTTTCTTTCTACTGAGGCAGTTAGGATCCTGCCATTCTCTGATCCTTCCTCCAGTCTCTAAGGCAGCTGGGAATACAGGAACATGTGAGCTTGTCTATTGGATTCAGGTCTACCTGAGGCCTGAGCGTGATCCTCCCATATGGCTCTAGCATCACACAGTGGTGCCCTACTGCCTATGTCTCCATGGCTGGGCTTGTATTGCAATGTTTTAACTGCACCCATCACATGAGTTTGTGTGTGGAACTTATGGTATCAGGTTGGTGCTTGAAAAATTTAAATTTTGGAGCATTTGAGATTTCAGATTTTCAGATTAGGGACACTTAATCTGTATATCTTTTAATCTTGCATTTCAACCTAGGCTTAATTATGCCTTTATTCACTTCTGTTATTTTTTGCTATGTTATTTATGATTTCTATTTTCATAATGTATGTTTCTTCTTTTTACTCCATTTTTATAATACCTCATGTATATCTTCTTGTACCCACTATTAAATATTAAATATTCCCTTTCCCAGGATCAGATTTATCCGTGTTTTCATTTGAAGCAGCTCACATTTTATGCACTATATTAATTTTATGGCATCCCAAGCAAGGATATGGAGTGGATATAAACAGGAAAATTTCCTACTAGTGTTGGTAGAGTTCTTGCATCCACAATGTGTGTTAACTGTGGATAGCAGAATTATATAAACTAGTTCAGATCCATACACAACAATTATCAAATCCAAGAGAAGATAATGATTTTTTTGGTTATTTATTTATTTAGTTATTTTACAATACTCCTTATTTCTGGTGATGTCTATTGTCAGTAAAGATTCCTTTCTTGGGACCAGCAGATGGTGTAGTGGTTACATTTCTGGACTCCCACTATGGTTTGAGTCCTGGACCTGAAGGATAATCTTGCTGGACATAGTATTCTTGGTTGAAATTGTTTTTCACTCAACACTTTGAGTATATTTTCCCATTCTTTCCTTGCTTGCATTGTCTCTGATGAGTGGGCCACTGTTAGCCTGATGGGATATCTTTTGTAGGTAACTTGATGTTTCTCTCTTGCTAATATTAGTATCCTATCTTTGTCTGTGGTTTAGGTAATTTTGGGTATAACGTGTCTTAGCGAAGATCTTCTTGGGTTTATTCTATTTGGAGTCCTTTGTATTTCTTGGGCCTGGATCTTTGAATGCCTAGAGAGATTTGGAAAGTTTTCTTCCAGGATTTCATGGAATAGATGATCAATTCCCTTATTTGTCTCTTTACCTTCTGCAATAACGATTATCTGAACGTTTGGAAATTTAATGGTATCTAGTATTTCTTGTATATTATCCTCATTTGGGGGGGATATTTTCTCAGTCTTTGTGGTGGATTTTTCTAGTCAAGTGATTCTGTCTTCTACATCTGAGATTTGATTTTCTGTATGATCTAGTCTGCTTTTAATACTTTCCAGAGAGGTTTTGATTTCCTGTATTATAGCCTTCATTTCTGGCAGTTCCATTTGATCCCTTTTTATGGTGTATATTTTCTCTTTCAGATCTCACAAGAACTTCCTCATTGTCTCTCTTCTCTTCCATTTCTGTTAGCTTTATCGCTATGAATATTCTAAATTCTTTATCAGACATTTCCTTGAGTACCATTGTACTGTCTGTGGATGAAGAGGGGTTATTCTTGGGGAGAGGTATTTTCTTGGTTTCATATTTCTTGTGCCTCTGCAGTGATTTCTAGTCATCTGATGGATTATTTGTTTCTTCCTAATTTCTCTAAGTTCAGTCTGAGCATTCAGAAGCATGCAGGAAGATGTGATCTGCAAACTCTTGTCCATTCCATTTTTCTCCTTTCGTGTGGCAGAGTCAGTGGGAATTGAGGAATATGTTGACCCTAATAGTATTCAGATGTTTGGCCATGATTCACTTAGACCTGTTAGACACTCAGTGCGTGGAGGCTGAGCAGCAAAGTAATGAGGTAAAATAAGAAGGATAAGAAAACAGAGAAAGAGAGAGAGAAAAGACAGAAAAACAAACAAACAAAAGCTCTTATTTATTTCTTTCTTTTAAAAAACAAAAAATGAAAACCGCGTGGCACACTCTATCTCAGCTCCCATGGAGGACTCAGTCTCTTTCTGAAGCCCTGCCCTTTTTGCTTCTCCAGGTTCAATGCTCAGCAGAAAATCTTTATTTCTCTTATTCCCTGAAAGCACTAGTTCTCAGCTCTCTTGGTGGACCCAGTCTTCTTCTGAAGTCCTGCCTGTTTTGCCTCTGCTAAATGGGAGGAGGGAGAGGGGATTATTAGCAAGATAAAGGAGGATCTGAGAGGTAAGAAGACACTCTACCTAAACATTTTTTTGAAAAAAAGAAAAATGAAAAAAATGAAAAGACAGGGAGGGGCAGAAAGAGACAGAGAGAAGGATACAGCAAGCTCTACCAGGTTCAGTTCTCACAGGAAAATCTTCATTTCTTTTATTCCCTGAAAGCACTTGTTCTCAGCTCTCTTGGCAGACTCAGTCTTCTTCTGAAGGCCTGCCCTTTTTGCCTCCGCAGGTTCAATTATCAGCAGAAAATCCTCATTTTTCTTATTCCCTGAAAGCGCTAGTTCTCAGCTCTCATGGTGGGCTCTCTTCATATTACTTTTTAAAGAAATGGTTATAGGGGCCAGCTTTGTAGTGCATTGCTTAAGTCTTATGCATAGGGAGCTGGCTCCCACATGGGTGACAGTTTTGAATCATGGCCCCATGGCTTGAAACATGCTGGAGAAATGGAAAAATAAGGATTGTAGCATGACCACACCCCACTGGGAATATGGAACTTCAGAGTGATCAAAAAGAAGAAAATATGTAAATAAGAAAGCAAGGTGACTTAAGTTTATTTAAAATGCTATAAAAGAAATGTAGTGGTTTAATATGATGATACTCTTAGGTACTAGGTGGTTCGTGAAGGCCTCTGTACAGTTTATTCAATTTTACTGAGAAGAGAAACATAGAGTAACTCAATTAATGCTTGCCTTATGCTATGTTTTTTTAAAGGTGAAACTCCACCTGCTATCCAGCTGCCCACACCTTCAGTCCAGCGTCCAAGCCCCATCACGCTTTTTCAGCCCAGCGTCTCCAGTACTGCCCAGGTGGCCGTCCAGACCCCAAGTCTACCCCTCCCTCCAGCATTCCCACCACAGCGCTTTGCCGGGCCTTCCCAAACGGACACTCATTGCTTGCATTCTGGAGTCAGTCGCTCTGTGAAGAGACCCACCCCTGTCTCTCTGGAGAGCACCAACAGGATTCCAACCAGTGCAAGTACTGCCCATGCCAGATTTGCAACCTCTACCATCCAACCCCCCAAGGAGTATTCCAACATTTCTACTTGTCCCAGAAGTGCTCCAATCCCCCAGGCTCCTCCCATTCCACACTCACACGTCTACCAGCCCCCTCCCCTTGGCCATCCAGCTACATTGTTTGGGACACCACCAAGGTTCTCTTTTCATCACCCTTACTTCCTACCTGGACCTCACTACTTCCCATCAAGGTAAATGAACAACTTCTTTTACTTTCACCTAAAAACACAGTTAATGCATTTTTACCTCTGAAGTCATCTCTTTTTTACTGAAAAGGGGAGTTCCTCACTTCTGCTTGGAATCTAATCTAGAGGCAAAATAGGAATTGAGCCACTAACATAAATAGGTGAAGGACCAGAGGGAGCTAGGGAGCTAGAGAAACTGTGTGCCCTGTCTAATGGGGCAGCAGCAGTTGCCACTCAGCCCCAGTTGATTCTTGCCACATGAGAATGTAGGTGCTGATGTTATTAGAAATCATTTCTCATGAGAAACTGTTAGGTTGGGGGACCAGCAGTTAGCGTAATGGCTATGTCGCTGGACTCCCACGTAGTCGACCGCGGTTCAGGTCTTGGACCCGGTGGCGTAAGCTCACGCCGGGCGCGTGTGCGTGCATGCCCAAGATCCCAAGAGGAGAATGGAGGAGAAGGGATTGCGGCGTGACCAGCCCCCCGGGGGGTGATTTCTCGCTTTCTGTTTCTCTGTCTCTCTCTGTCTGTCTGGCAAGCGCACGTGCCCTATAGCAAAAACCTCTCCAAAAAAAGAAAGAAAAAAAAAGAAACCATTAGGTTGTCAAAAAAGTCACGATGTATTTTTTCTATATTTTTCTATGCATCATGGCTTTTTCAACAACCCAAAATAAGGAAACTTAAGATCATTTAGTCAAATCCCCTTATTTTAGAGAGGTGTGCTTTTTCAAAATTTAATGTGTATATAAATGATGTGGTATCTTGTTAGAATGCAGATTCTGACTCACTAGGTCTAGCGTGTAGTAGTATCCTGTACTGTGAGATAAAATTCCCCGCAGCGTCCATTCTAATAAGCTCTCAGGTGATGCCAGTTCTGCAGGTTTGAGGACCACACTGAGTAGAAAGGATATAGAGGAAGGCATTTGGTCTATGAGAAGTTAAATGACTAGCTCAGAGTTACACTGAAAATTTCCTATGTAAATGACCAATTTAAGGATTTGATTTTCATAGGGAAGTATCTAGGGATAGCATATTTGTAACTTCATTTTGGAGTGATCCAATTTGACTCTCTTGGAAGTGATAAAGGGTACCAATCCCTACTTTTCAATTTCTGTTAAATGAGAAGACAAAAGTTGTTTCTGTTAAGATTGGAGTGGTAAGTGTCTGACGGCAATCTTATATCGTTACTTATTTAGAAAGTAAAACTACACCCCATTTGGGTCTACCCACTCCTCGAGGAAACAACTTTCAAGGTATATATTATGTTGCTTCAATTCATTATGGGATTGTTTGCTTTCAAGTACTTTGCTCCAGACTGAAAGAAAGTAGAACTAAGGAATTAGGTCAGAAGAAAGGGATATTTTGCTATTTGGGGTTTGTTTTATTTTGTTTTGCTTCTATAGGCTCTTTTTATCTTTAGCAATTTTCAGAAGTTTAAGGGATCAAACTTCAAGAAGACTCCTAAGGCTAGGAATTCTCATTGCTATTTGCCAAGTGTCAGAATTTTATAAAAATTTTGGAGAATTTTACAAAATGTTTCCTAGATATAAAAGAAGTATTAAGGAGATAGATAGAATTTAATAAATGAGTTGACTTGGAAACACTTGGTCTCAATTAGAACCTTGCAGTCCATACCTGAAACTGTAGAAATTTTATAAGTTAAATAATTTATTTTGTGATACAGGAAAGGCTTGGACTGTACTTGTTCACAGGAAAGGACAAGGAGGAAATGTCAGCTGAAATGGGGTGCCCCACAATCTCACTCCATTGTTGTTTCTTATAGTTTTCTTCTTTGTGTTTTAAGAGTTAGATATTTTTACATGTAATTTCTATGACTTGGGTATAATACTGCTATACTTTTTCAGATAAATAAGTTGACCAGATGTTAAATATGTTAAATAGTTTTATTAAGGTTATACAATGGCAGAGCCAATAGTCAAATTTAGATTTGTGTGATTCTAAGTTATATATATATATATATATATATATATATATGTATTTTTATTTTTTTAATTATTTTTTTTACTATATGTATAGCACTACATCAGTAAAATTCAGTATAGTGACTTTTCTTGATTGGTAGCTATTAGTTTCTAGTAGAGAATCAAATGGAAAATGTACTTTTGAATGGAAAACTCATACACTTGGGCAAGAGGACTTTTGCCTTTGTTCTGTTTTCTTACATTTTAAATAGATTAAATCATAGGAAATCTATCTTTCTTACTCACAACAAGGTTTATAGGATTTGGCTCTTAATATACAAATAATCTGATATTTTGAAGAACTGTTTAAAAGGAAACTTTTAAAAGTAAGCTCTTAAAACACAAAAGCTACACATTTTTCTCTAATACTGTTATTGCTAACTAATCAAAATAATATTGGAAGAACCAAATGAAATGAATAATGAATAAGTAGTGTCATACTTGATTTTATTTCATCTAAGAATATGAAGCAGTATGTCCACTAAATGTAGTTCTCTAAAATACCAGATAAGCCTTATAAATGATAATATTTTCTGGTTGCTTTTCTGACTTCTACCTGTATGTATCTGACAGCAATTTCCCTAAAGAAATGGATAATCTATTATATAATTTGCGCTTATTTGGGTAATATATTTTATTAAAACCTTGTCAGGCTAAATAACAAAATTAGCAGATTCCTCTCAATTTTTTCTTCTCCCAGTTGAAAACAGAAACTTCTATAAAGAATAGTTCTCCCAAGGCCAACCACATAGTGTAATGTTTAAGAGAGCTCAGTCCTGTATGACTGACTGTGGTTCAAATCCTAATCCTGGGCAGTTTGAAAATATGCTGGGCCATGCAACTGGGTGCATGTGTGTGTATGTGTGCCTCAAATCCTGACAGAACAGACGAATGAAGGAGAAGGGTTTGTGGCATCATCACACCCCACTGGAGGCTGCTCTCTCGCTCACTTTTCCTCTCTGTTTCTCTCTGGAGAGCATTTGTGCCGTTTGGCAATTAAAAAAAAAATAATATTTCTTCCCTAACCAGTTTATGAGTGAAATTATTCAATCATTTTAATATCCTAATTGTAATGAACATTTTATATATATATATGTGTGTGTGTGTGTGTGTATATATATATATA